GCCCCTCTACCTGCTTTTGTTGTTTGCAATCTCTCAACCCTCCTAATACTGGGACCTTTAGTACATTCCTCATGCTGTGCTGACCCCCAACCACAACAATGATTTTCTTTGCTACTTCAGAACTGTAATCTTGCTACTGTTATGAGTTGTCATGTAAATGTCCGATATACCACCTCAAAGGGTCATTACCCACAGGTTGAGAACCATTATCTTAAAGTCTAGGAGCAAACTGGATCATCAGCACAACTGAACTGGCTTCTTCAGCAGCTGTAGCTAATCTAACCATGCCATGTCCATGTGCATCGACCGTAGGCCAGATTCTGGAGAAAATGCCTCTTTTCCTGTTCTCCAGTGAATGCACAGAAAATAGGTGTTCAATAGTGATAATTTGGAGAAATAACAGATAACCATCAAAGTTTTGCACCACTGATTTACTTGATAGTGTGTGTGAGGAGAAGCCAGAGCAAGTTTATCCATTAACTATGTTTTTGGAACTCAGCGTTTATTCACTTTGGGAGAGGTGTGTAGAAAAGAGCTGTGTGTGAATTCTGCTCCGGTCCTGTAGTTCCCTTGGGGCATTGCTGTGGAGGTGTCTCAGTGGATCACATGCTTCTTTTGGTATTGCTTTATGTGTATGAGTGTTTTGTCTGCATGAATGTATGTGCACCATGTGTGTGCCTGGTGACCACTATGTTCAGAAGAGGGTATCAGATCCCTTGGGATTGGGGTTACAGATGGTTGGTGAGCCACCATGTGGGTGCTAAGAATTGAACTTGAGTCCTCTGCAAGAACAAGTGTTCTTAGCTGCTGAGCCAATTCTCCAATCCCAACATTAAAATCTTGATCCTCTTGCCTCCATTTCCTAAGGCTTGCACTACCATGACCAGCTCCTTATTTATTTTGGTAGGCGGGGGATTGGACCATTGTAGGCAAGTGCTCTGCTAAGCTATGTCCCAAGCCTCCAGTCTATGTATTGAAATATGTTTAGTGCATGTAAAGACCATACGTCCATAAATGACTTATTTAGTTCTCACCCTTGGAGTGGTTAAAAATTGAGTAGATCTCCATATGGGACCAATGCATTCTCTTCTTGGGTTTTCAGTATTTTGATTAGTCATTAGAAGCACCATCAGGGATGAATCTTTATATAGAATTTCATTGATATGGTTATGAGAAAAGGGAAGCCATGTGATTTGTATTGTTGGATTAGACACTTATTTCTGTAAACTGGCGGGGAGCAGAGGCTAGGGAACTATCAGATGATTCTCGAAGTCCATCTCTGTCTAATCAAGAGTAAGTCGTTGAGTTATCTCACTGACCCTAAGACTAAGCCACCTGTCAGAGGACTCTTGGTTGCTCGTTCGCTGAGTTGGTGACATAGCTCTGGAATTTCACCTTTAGGGTGTTCACAGGAGCCTCTGTGGTCGGCCTTATCCTGTGGCTGGCTCTCGACACAGCTCAAAGGCCAGAGCAGCTGATCTCCTTTGCAGGAATCTGTATGTTCATCCTCATCCTCTTTGCCTGTTCCAAACACCACAGCGCGGTGAGTTTGGGGTATTAAGTTGGGCATAGCAACCCACAGCCAGGACTAAGTAGAAACTACAGCATGTATGTGTCTGATATTCATGATAAAGACACAGAACTAAGTGACAACTCCTGGAATTTTCCTCTGACAGTCCTATTCCTACGAGAAGTTGGAAAGCATTTAGAGACCTTAGGGCTGTTAATTATTATTGTGGTATATATGAATCTAGACAGTACTAGAGGAAAAGAAAATATAAAGAAGGAAGGAAAGAAAGAAAACAGACTGTGGCGGAGAATCAGGTGGCACTTGTAAAAATGACATTTTTGGACCTTATTTGTATGCATGTGTCATAATATCACGTAACTTATTTTAAAAATCTGTATGGACATACTTGTCTCTTTGAACAGTCACCCTATTTTTAATTACCAGTCTCCCTGTTCCCTGTGCCATTGTCTTAGGGTACTATTTCTGTGATGGAACACCATGACCAAAAGCAACTTGGGGAGGAAAGGGTTTATTTGGCTTATTCTTTCACATCACTGTTCATCATTGAAGGAAGTCAGGACAAGAACTCAAACAAGGCAGGAACCTGGAGGCAGGAGCTGATGCAGAGGCCACAGAGGGCTGTTGCTTACTGGCTTGCTCCTCATGGCTTGCTGTTTGCTTTCTTACAGAACCTAGGACTACCTGCCCAGGAATGGTACCACCTACAATGGGCTGGGCCCTCCCATGTCAATCATTGTTTAAGAAAATGCCCTACAGACTTGCCTACAGCCCACTCTTATGGAGGCATTTTCACATTGAAGTTCCTTCCCCTTAGATGACTTTAGCTGGTGTCAGGTTGACGTAAAGCTAACCAGCACAGCCATGCTATCCCAGACTGACTGTTAACATCCTCACTGAACTCCATTCCCAGTACAAGGCTGAACTAGGCAGTGGCTGAGTAAGGTTTGGGACTCATACTGGAATATTTTCTTTTTGATCCCAGGTGTGCTGGAGGACAGTGTTTTGGGGCCTGGGCCTTCAGTTCGTCTTTGGGATTTTGGTCATCAGAACGGAACCTGGATTTAATGCATTTCAATGGTTGGGAGATCAGATCCAGGTACAGGGAACTGAATGTTTCATTCATCTGGAACCCCAGAGGATGTAGATTTGAGGGAAGCATGAGGCTTTGGGACTCTGTCTTCATGGTGGTACAGGGAATCTGGTTGGGTAAAGAGAGAAAGTAATGGGGTTCCGGTGAGAACACAAGTGAAGAGAGCTGATTGGCCGATTCTGTCATTTCATGACCAACTCTTGGGACACGGCCTGCCCACAGGTGGTCACCTCTGAGGCAGATCACATCTTCCTCTGTGTCCTGCCTGTCCTAACTCTCATCCCTTATTCTCCCCACTTCAGATTTTCCTGGCTTATACTGTGAAAGGCTCCAGTTTTGTTTTTGGTGATGCACTGGTCCAAAATGTCTTTGCTTTTCAGGTAATTCCTCTTTTGTGGGCAGGGATGACATTGTCAGTGAAGGGTACAGGGATAAAGCAGAGGTCGATATGTGTACTCAAGAGATCAGGCGGTCTCTTCACCAATTTACCTAGAAGGCAGTCCACTCTTTTCCCATGATCCTGACCATCATGAAACTGTTTGAAAGGCAGGTTCGAGGAGAGGCTTAGGAAATATCCTGTGGTTTAGTACTGACAGGCTTACAGGGTTGCGGTACATTTTGAGTTTATTCCTAAACTGCATTGTACCAGATATCCTGGGAATGCCCAGAGCTGGATTTAGAGGTCCACAAGAGCTTGCTTAGGGCACACACAGCACACATAGTATAATTCTCTCACCCCTCGCCCCCCCTTCTCATTGCAGTCCTTGCCAATCATTATCTTCTTTGGGTGTGTGATGTCCATTCTCTACTACCTGGGCCTTGTGCAGTGGGTGATTCAGAAGGTAAGTCCGTGAAAGGCTCTTCAGCGTGGACCTGTCAGGGGAGCGAAAGACGCGGAACCGATGAAAAGGCACTCACTCCCCTTTGAGCATCCTGATGTCAAATGATGACCCAGGCTGGAGATAGGAAAAGATGGGCTGGACTGCACTTTCACACTGAGTGTGGTATGCTCAGTGTACAAGTCCCAGGGCCTGAGTTCTGGCTAACACATTTGTGACTTGTTCTGTCACCCCGCCACACTATATTTCCCTAGCTCTTGGTTTCCTTACGAGAAAATGGAATAGGGGGAGGGACTTTGCTGGATATTATCCAAGACTCCTGCTAATGTAGATGATTCAGTTGTCTGGATCCTTTTAGATCGCCTGGTTTCTGCAAATCACCATGGGTACCACCCCTGCAGAGACCTTGGCCGTGGCAGGAAACATCTTTGTGGGAATGGTAAGTACCGTGGGCCTTCTGTCTTTCTTCTCTCTCGAGAACTGAGAACTTGGCAGAAGACAAATTCAGAAAGAGGATTTTCTCTTCTTTCCTTCCCACCTCCTTCCTTTCTTTTTCTCTGGAAGAGAATCTCATATAGCCCAGGCTGACCTCATACTCACTGTGTAGCTGAGGATGACCTTGAATTCCTGATCTCCCTGCCGCCACCTGCCAGGTGCTGAGAGTATAAGCACATGTCACCACACAGCTCAAAAGCCCATTTTTCTTATGAAAAGTCTGAGAAACGGAGATTGTGAAGCAGTTGGTTCCTTACGAAAGGAACCTCAGAAGGTCAAGGAGAACTCAGTTCATTGCTCTTACCCTTGATGTCTGGTACAGTCTGGACACACTATGCAAAGGTACTTAGCAACTGGTCCAGCTTCTTACACAGGAATACAGGTGAAAGTCTTAGTCCAAACCTTATCCCCTCCAGGAGCTAGGAAGGATGCTTGAGCTGCTTTCTGGTTTCTTGGTGTGACGTCCTATGATCCCTGTTTTCCGAGGTCTCTGAGGAGGCAATGGCTTGTCTTGCTTGAGACTAACAGGGCTCTTCTCCATAGACTTTCTTAGTGAGTCCTAAGTGTGTGGAATTGTAACAAGCCTTTCTCTGCACCATCAGCCCCAAATACCGGCACAGAGACTTATTATTAATCATGAAAGCTTGCCCTTAGCTTAGGCTTGTTTTTAACTAGCTCTTATAACTTAAATTAACTCATTTCTATTAATCTACGTTCTGTCACATAGCATCCATCCTGTTTCTTCTGTGTCTCCTCTTGTCTCTCTCGCATCTAGATTCCTCCTCCTTCATCTTTCTCTGCTTGGAATTCCACCTACATATCCTGCCTAAGCTATTGGCTGTTCAGCTCTTTATTACACAAATCTCACCAAATGCATCTTCACACAGTGTACAAATATCCCACAACATGAAATAAGAGTGGTCTTTGTGTGGAACAGGTGCCCTTCTCTATTGCTGTGATAATATACCCTGAAAAAAGCATATTAAGAGAGAAATGACTTATTTTTGACTCACAGTTTGAGAGTACAGCCATCATGTTGGGAAGGTCTTGGTGGCAGGAACTTGAGGCAGCTGATTATGTTGCATCCCGTCAGGAAGAAAAGAATGATGCCTGTGCCCAGCTAGCTTTCTCTTAATGCAATCCAGAACCCAAGCCTAGGGAATGGTACTACCCATTGTTCGAGTGGGTCTTTCCACCTCAATTAACCTAATTAAAACAGTCTCACAAGCTGACCTAATCAAGATAATCCTCAAGGCATTCCTAGAGTCTTGTCTCCTAGAAGATTTTTATCAATTGTTGATAATCAGTATTAACCATTATAGTATTAAATATTTGCTAGTGATTGACTAAATCAACATGAGGGACAATAGTTTTTCAAATGGGCAAGAAGTTAACATTGGCGTCTTTTTCCCCCAAAGCCTTAGGCTGATTATCCGCTTTTGTTATGTTTTCACAGTACTTCTGATTCTTCTATTATATCCCTCAAATTTTGCTAAAATGATTTACAATCAGTTTTGCACTAACGGTCTTAGTGGCTAGGTCCTTTTGCTGTCACTCATTAAAGGACAAGTGACATCCTAGATCGAGCTAGGTAATTTCCTAGTTGAATCTTCCTAGTTGATAAACATTTTACAGACATTTCTTTAAAACTTTATTACATTTATTTAATGCAGTGTGTGTGTGTGTGTGTGTGTGTGTGTGTGCATGTGCGCATGCATACTCACGCGTGTAAGCATTCCTGTGCCATGGCACTCGTGTGGAAGTCAGAGGACAACTTGTGAAAGCAAGTTCTCTCTTCTACTATGTGAGTTCTAGATAGTGAACTCAGGTCCTCAGGATGAGCTTTCTTGGCGGCCTGATATTGTTACTATTTCTTTATTATTTCACAAAGCATGCTTAGATAAGTTATTTCCAGTTCATTTACTGCATGCTTTGTAGATATCTAGTGGGTGGTCAGTAAGTGCACTGTACTCCATAATTCACTCAGAAAGTGTATGCATTTAAACATGGTAAACAGAATAAATGAATACTGGTTGTCTGCAGCCTTTTATAACATGACATAGAAATAGGTGGAAACACGGTCAGCAAGGAGATGGTTTGGCAGGTCTGAAGCCTAAGGGCAGAGCTTTTTGTCCACTGGCTGGAAGGGCATGCATCCATGCCACGCCTCAGATAAGCACTTCAGGATGGGCTGTGCTGCTCTTGGAATATGACTGCTTTTTCTTTGTTTTTAGACAGAGGCACCTCTGCTCATCCGTCCCTACCTTGCAGACATGACCATCTCTGAATTACATGCTGTGATGACGGGAGGCTTTGCTACCATTGCAGGCACTGTGTTGGGAGCCTTCATATCCTTTGGGGTGAGGCACCGTCCACATCATCACTCCCAGTGCACCCAAGTTGAGCCCTGCAGTGGTGCTAATGCCCCATCTGGCCTTACAGATTGATGCCTCATCCTTGATTTCTGCCTCAGTGATGGCCGCCCCGTGTGCACTTGCCTTGTCCAAACTGGTATATCCAGAAGTAGAAGAGTCCAAGTTCAAGAGCAAGGAGGGAGTGAAACTGCCCCGTGGGTGAGTCAGGGGAAGTGTGTAATTTGGGAGATGGTAAGGTGTGCTACCTAGAGAGGACCTGTGGTGGTAGAGACTTCCAGTCTCCCCGAAGGAAGAATGTCATTCCATGTCTCCTTTTGCCGGCTCTGCATCCAGCGTATCATTTTCGTTTTGTTTTGATTGAATCTTCCCACCTGGCATTAACTCCTTAGACACTTCCTCCAGGTCCTTGGCATCAGACTGTCATGGCAATTACATCTGAGTCACTTCAGAGTAATCTTCACTATTGAAATCACGAAGGGATCCCATCACTTCTCACACTTCGGGGGCAAGGGAGCTTCTCTTCTCTGAGGAGCTGAGGTAGCGTATACTTTCTGTCCAATAACCACAGGGAGGAGAGGAATATCCTGGAGGCTGCGAGCAACGGAGCCACGGATGCCATAGCCCTTGTTGCTAATGTTGCAGCCAACCTGATTGCCTTTTTGGCTGTGCTGGCCTTCGTCAATGCTACTCTTTCCTGGCTGGGGGAAATGGTGGATATACATGGGCTCACTTTCCAGGTAAGTCTTGTTATACGTGTTGGCCATGATTTCTGGCCCCCAGTAAGCTAAGAGAAAGCCCTAGCAAGAAGATGGAAGCGTAAGGAGAGGAGGCCTGAGTCTCCAGAGCGGCTTCTGGACCTGACCTTGTCTGCTCTTGTTTCCCTGGGGTGTTTCTCTTCTATCAGGTCATCTGCTCCTACGTCCTTCGGCCCATGGTTTTCATGATGGGTGTAGAGTGGGCGGACTGTCCACTAGTGGCTGAGATAGTGGGAGTCAAATTCTTCATAAATGAATTTGTGGCCTATCAACAACTGTCTCAATACAAGAGCCAACGTCTCTCCGGGGTAGAAGAGTGGATCAATGGTGAAAAACAGTGGATTTCTGTAAGTGACAATCCAGAAAAATCACCGAGTGGGAGGTTTGGGCCATGCACATCTGAGGGAATGCACAAAGTTCCACACAGACATTGTGGACCCACAGTTATTTCCCAGTGTCCCAGCCTAACCACAAGACAAGCAGAACCATATGTCCCAGTAGTGAGCTTCTGCCCCAGGTCTGTGTGTTATTTCTCCTCTGTATTCTGGCCCAACTTTGATCTATAAGGTAAACTGGTGCTTCCTAACCTGGGCACAGTCCAAGGAGCACACCTTTTGGGTGTTCTGAAGTCCCTTTATTTACACATTCAAATTGCTGTGAGTTGATTTTCTTTCTATCTGTCGTTGTGTGGCTGGGTAATTTTCTCCTTATCTTTAATAAGAACAGTGCTCTGGGCAAGGAGTCTTGTGGTTATTACCACATCATGGCAGCTGTTGTAACTTAAGGGTCAGCTATTTTCTGAGCATCTTCTATGGTTCTTTAGAACACTGTAAGAAAGAGTTGGTGTGCCCTGGAAAATCTACCATGGTTGTGACACACGGAAGGACGGAATTTATCTACTTGTTTTCCCCCTAGGTGAAAGCTGAAATTATTGCAACATTTTCGCTCTGTGGATTTGCCAATCTTACTTCCATAGGAATCACATTGGGAGGCCTGAGTGAGTTGTTAAATCCCCCCCGGTCCTCAATATGCCAGACAGATCCCAACCTTTGCTCCCTGCAAAGCTGAGGCTAGACAGAGAAGCTGATATGAAGTGGGCCTCTTAGGCCTCGAGGAACTCAGAGCTCATGCAGTCAGGCTGACTGGGGCTTAAGTCCTTTACAGTCAGAGCTTTATTTGCCTTCTTCTCCTTCCTGCCAAGGCACCAAAAGGGTTTATTTTTTATTTTCCTTGCAAGGGAGAAGTTACTAAAATGATATTTCTGTCTTTCCATTAAACTGCCCAAGGTACATTCTGAAATTAAGCTGCTCAATAGTTTTGCTTTTTCACGAAAGCGGTATTTGTACAGGAATCAAAAAAACAAAACAACAACAACAAAAAACAAAACAAAACAAAACAAAACAAAACAAAAAAAACCCTGAAATGACAGGAGACAAAAAAGCAAACAAATAGAGCAAGTGAGTATTGTGCATTGTCGGGTTGAAAGCTGAGGGTCCTGGACCGAGGACTTAGTATTTGAGACAGAGGCATTCAGATGGCCGGCGAGATTGCTGAGCGTGCCTTATGGCTGCAGGAACACCAGGAGAGAGGGAGTGGTCCTGGAAGGCAGAGTGGGGGATGTCTATCAGAATCCCAAGCACTTGGAAGAGCCAAGTTAGATATGGGTCTAAGAAGAAATAGAACATGAAAAGAATGTGTGAAAAATGCCGTTTCTGGCGATCCTATTCTGGGGTGGAATTATTAAATTTATTTCATTGCTAGCTGATTAAACAGTTCGAAGGTGAAACATTTCCTTCTGGTGTATCTTCTCTGTTCTGTTAAACACCTGTCCACGTTGTCCTGCTTCTGCTGCGTGATAGCTGTGATCCTGGAGACGGGAGCGAGGTGGATGCTGCCCTCTCTAGTCCGCTAGTTCACAGCGGTCCATCTAACTCCAGTCTAGACTTAAGAGTGTAGATCTCAACTGGCACACACCAGGCGTGCACCTGCTTGGAGCAGCTCAGAGCCTTGCTTGACTCAGATATATCTTGAGTAGATTCCAGAACTACTGAGGTGAGGGTCAGATATACAACCCAGGAAAAGCCCGAGTTATTTATCAAGACTAATGTATGCACACACCTCTTATGTCAGTTTTAGAAGCACTGTTCATCTGATGTGGGTTTTTTTTTTTTCCCTCCCATATTCTTCTGAATGGGGACTCATGGGCCACTCCTCCTTGCTGTGTGGGGAAGACATCTCATTGTTCTCTTTTGTTGCCCGTAGCGTCAATGATGCCCCAGCGGAAGAGTGACTTGTGCAAGATTGTGGTCAGGGCCCTCTTCACGGGTGCTTGCGTTTCCTTCATCAGTGCCTGTATGGCAGGTGGGTGCCTAAGCACTGTCTCTGGCAGAGATCACAGCATCTCTCTCCGAGTAGTCACATAACTCACTATCCATCCCACAGACACCTAATCTACAGTGTTACCAACTCCCAACCAAACAGTAAAGAACTTTGGGGACCATGTGCCAAATATTCCGCCTTCATGTAATGCCTGTCTTCTTTGTGCAGGAATCCTCTATGTTCCCAGGGGAGCGGAAGCTGACTGTGTCTCATTCCTCAGCACAAGTTTCACCAACAGAACCTACGAGACCTACGTGTGCTGCAGGGAGCTTTTCCACAGGTAGGTGAACACCATAGTTCCTGCTCCCTCCTCCTACCTCCTCTCCTCCATGAAGGAAACTTCCAGATGTTGGGAGATGAGAGGTCTTGAGTACAGTCCTGTGGAAGCCGTATGGAGTATATGAAACACAACATGAATGTTGGTGATGGCCTCCATCTTTATTCCTTTTTCCTATTATCTTCAGTATTAGCCCTGCTGCGTGAGACAGGTTCTGGTTATCTGTGCCGTGTAGGCGAAGGGAAGGAAGTGTGGTCCCTCTGTTATTGTGACTGAAATATAGTTTATAGGTGATGATTTTACAATAGTCCTACTTGGCAAAACTCGGAGGTTTTTTTCAAATAGAAATGAAGCAGACCATCAGGCGTGGTGGCATGCCCCTTTAATCTCAACACTTGGGAGGCAGAGGCAGGCGGATCTCTGTGAGTTCAAGGCCAGCCTGGACTACAAAGGGGTTCTAGGATGGCCAGGGCTGTTACACAGAGAAACTGTCTCAAAAAACCAAAAACCAAAACAAAACAAGAGACCAAGAGAAGATAAATTTTATTTTACAAGATAACCTCGAGTTCAGATAGTGTAAAGATGATCTCACTTACTGCATTTTAGAATGTGAAAAGGACCTATCAATGAGACAAAAGAACTAGTTTGGGGCCGCATAAAAGGAAGGTGTGAGGAATTAGAATATTTGACATTGCCAAAGCTGGAGGTGTGCGCTGGTGGAGGTCTGCAGGGGATCGGGGAGAGCTTTAGAAAGCAAGGCTGAAACATTGTTGAAAGGCCTTGTATGAAAGCCTAGAGAAGTTAGATTTTGACCTGCAGGGTTCTGGACCCCGGCACAGCAACCACATGCTGTAACAGTCTCAGCAAGAGATGATGAGATACTTAGAAGGGTTTAGGTATGCTAGACCAAGCAGAATCAGTTAGGACTGGTTCTCAACTAGCTAGGAGGAGCAAGGCCCAGGTGAGGGGAGAAGGAACTCCCTTTTCTGTCCTGAGCTATGTGTCCACCACAATGAGGAGCAGGACTAGTAGAGGAATAGGAGCAAAGGAGAAAGGTGTGGTCCCCTCCAGTCCTGGATTTGTTTTTTATTTTTTTATTTGTTTTGGTTTTTTTCGAGACAGGGTTTCTCTGTGTAGCTTTGCGCCTTTCCTGGAACTCACTTGGTAGCCCAGGCTGGCCTCAAACTCACAGAGATCCGCCTGGCTCTGCCTCCCGAGTGCTGGGATTAAAGGCGTGCGCCACCACCGCCCGGCTCAGTCCTGGATTTGTTAACTCGGAGGTTCCTGTGTGAACACTACATAAAGCCACTCCCAAGTCAGGAGTAGGGCTCAGGAGAAAAACCACAGCTGGAGTCTGCTTAGAAGGTGATATGTATGCAAGTGATCTCTTCACTGTGGGGTATTCAGATGTTAGCTGCATAAAAGGTCAAGAAATAAAGTAAAAGGAAATGAAACTGGGCAGTGGTGGTGCAGGCCTTTAATCTCAGCACTCAGAAGGCCGAGGCAGGCGGATCTCTGTGAGTTCAAGGCCAGCCTGGGCTACGGAGTGAGATCCAGGAAAGGCTCCAAAGCTATACAGAGAAACCCTGTCTCAAAAAACCAAAAATAAATGAATTGTTAATTTTGTGTATCGTTAAAGGGGAATTTATAAACTGGATAGATCTTTAGTCTGGTCTGTATGTTCTCAGTGGATTTTCTAAAGCCATATTATAAGAGTCATTGGCAGCTAGAACCTGAAAGAAATGTTTCTGGAGCTGGAGGAGATGGCTCAGCAGTTAGCATGCTGCTCTTGCCCAGGACCCCAATACTATTTCCACCATGCACATTGGGTAGCTTCCAACCAGCTGGAACTCCAGCTTCAGAAGAATCCCATGCTTAAGTCCTCTGCAGGCACCTGCTCTCTCCTGCACATATCCACATCCACACATAAACATAGTCTGAGAAAACTAACAGCTGCCTAACATATGCCCATAACCATAATCATTGAAAAAAAGAGGATATTAAGCCGGGCGGTGGTGGCGCACGCCTTTAATCCCAGCACTCGGGAGGCAGAGCCAGGCGGATCTCTGTGAGTT